CTCGTCTACCGGTGACCACAACATTAGCACCGGCTCTGGAGAACTGTACGGCAGTGGCGGCACCGATACCTGAACTCGAGCCTGTGATCAGCACTACTTTACCGCTGAAGTTGTATTGGAGAGACATGTTGAGGAAGTTTTGACAAATCAAATACAAGAACTAATGATCTTATATCAAATGTTTAAAACTATTTGTATGACAACCAATTTCCAATTAACATTATTGAGTTAATGGTTGTGCTTATATACCAACTTAATATTTGTGTACTTGCCAAGGTTAGCATTTATTTAAACTATCCATTATTATACAGTATATTATCATACAATAATAAAGTAAGAGGCATATAAATTATGCTATTTACAAAGTACATTAAAGTTGCTATTAAAGTACAAAGTTAGTGCACTAACAATTAGTGCATTAAATCCAGTATATCCGAGCTTGGCAAGGTCATACCATGATGCTATTCAATTAAGTTGTAATTAACAATAATATTATTTATATTTATTACTATTATTTATATGTATTATAGTAAACAAAAAACATTAAAAATTTATCAAATATACAATGTAAAAGTTCTGTATTACAGTGCACTTTCTATACAGTGAACGACTTGGTGACAAAGATTTTCGTGCACTATATGGAGAGTTCACTATAAGGAATAATGACAAAAGATGTCTAAATTTACAAGTCCATTGTTTTATTGTGTTAAATGATAGGGTGATATAAACTATTAATTAAAATAAGGTTTATCATTTACTTTTAAAGAAAATAATCATAAATTAAATATTATTTGGATTTAAAAATATTTATATCCGTATGTTCTTCCTATTACTATGATCAAAATTTCCAAATAACTATTATTGTCATTATTTAATACCGTATTCCCGCACAAGCACCGGCATGCCGGTTTAAAGTGAGGTTGATGAGACTGCCGTTATACCCCGGGGTATAACGGCATGCCGTAATAAGTGAGGTCTAAATTTATTTTTTAATATTTTAAAAATTATTAATATTTTGTTATATAAATGAGTTAAAAATAAACTGAAACTATATATCTTATTAATTTTACTGTTTATTTTTGTTGTATAAATAGGTTTAAGCTAGTAAAACATAAAAATATAATTAAATTTAATAATGGTATCGCTATGGTTTAACCTTATTTATTACCATTTGTAAATATGTGCCTCACTTTATACCAGCATGCCGGTAGGTTATCATAAAGCAATTTTTGTGAAATTGATCAGCCTCACTTATAACGGTTATATACTTAAAACAATAGACATACTTCTCATGAGATATTTTAATCACAATATATGAAAAGCAAAATTCTGAAAGGCTAAATGTGCCCATGAATGCAGAATGTAATCAATACTGTATTGAGTATTGATATTTCATTATTTGAAATAAATATTAATCAATAGTTTAATCACTAATTAAATATTTTATTAGAATTATTTCAATTAGAACTCATATTATTGGTTAACTAAAATAAATATTTAATTAATGGTATTTTATTTTTATGAATTTCATTAATATATCACATTGAACCCTTCAGAATAGGCCTCTTCATATCTTAGTTTTAACACATAACCAATAGAAACCAATTATTATTGAAATGCTTTAAAACTGTTTTGTGAAAATATATAATTTTAAAACATTTTATAGTTTATATTACAGTAATCGCTATATTATTGATTGAAATTATTATTTATATACACTGTATAGAGAGTTACAGTTCCTTAAACGTTGAAAATCCATGCACAAT